TCAATCTAGACTGGCTTGCTTTTATGGCAGTCCGTGATATAGTCAATATTCTTCATCAGCACCACAATTCAAAATTCTTGAGTCTTTATACATTTTCCAATTTTCACATGCATTTGAAACAATTAAAAAATGTAAAATAAAAAAAGTCATGGCTTGGATCAGACTTACCTTAGTCTTTAAAGAGACAGCTTTGTTCTTCAGCACATAAAAGAGGTCCTTCAATGGAGTACATTGTTTCATTTCTTGACAGTTGCTTCTATGCATGTTGATTATGGATCCAAGGGAAAGTAAATCGTTGACAACTTCAGATTCTTTTTCATTTATCATTATGTTGCTTATTGGTACGGTAAATATTTTTATTTTCTTGATATTGAAGTATAACACGTACTGATTTTTGTATCTTCTTCAAGAAGTATTTTGAGACTTCTTCACTTTCAGTAAGCAGTTACTATATTGTTGTTGTTATTATGTGCCGTTGACTTGCCTGCAACTCATTGTGACCCTAGGTATAGCAGCTTTGAAGCCTGACCTGTCCCGAGCCAGTCTCACTAATTCCAACACACCAACCCGTATTGCCCCAGTCACTGTATCAATCCATCTCATCCAGGGTTTTCCTCTCCTGCGCTGTCCATCGACCCTTCTGAGCATGATATCCTTCTCCAAGGACTGGTCCCTCCTGGTCACGTGCCCAAGGTATGTGAGATTGAGGGAAAATCCTAGCCTCCATATTAGTGTCAAATAAAGGAGATTCCAGATCAAGGAAATTACTACAGAGGAAAGATGAATAGAACATAACAATAGGCTCTTCCTAACAGGAAGATATAACATTGGCCTCAAAAGATCAAGGATGAGTTCCCTTCTGTTTTGCTTTTTGGAAGCCTGAGAAGGAGTGTCTTTTATTCCTTAAATGTTTGATGGAAGGCCCTGGTAAAACTGTCCATGGTCCTGAACATTTTTTTATGGGGAAATTTTTTTTGTTACCAGTTGAGTCTGACTATTAGAAATCTAATCTGATTTTCTACTCCTTCTTTTGGTAGTTTATAGTTTTAAGGAATTTTTTCATTTCCTTGAGGTTGTCTGATCTGTTGACATACACTTGTTCATAGTCATTCATTCTATTATTGTAAGATAATTAGTAATGTTTTGTCATTTGTTTTTAAATTTTTGTAATTTGCATTTCCTTAGGGTTCCCCCCCCAATATACTTCGCAATCACTTGTTATGCATCAGAAGGCTGGACAGTGACTAGGGATGATAGAAGGAGAATTGATGCCTTTGAGCTGTGGTGCTGGAGTAGAGTGTTGAATATACCATGGATGGCTAAGAGAACAAACAGGTTCGTCCTGGAGAGGGTGACACCAGGCTGCTCCTTGGAGGCAAAGATTCTGAGGCTTCGTCTGACATACTTTGGGCATGTTGCAAGCAGGGACCAGTCCTTAGAGAGGAACGTCATGCTTGGGAGGTTTGAGGAACAGTGCAGGAGAGGAAGATCCTGGATAAGATGGATTGGCTCATTGACTAGTGTAATGGAAGTAGGTGTGTCAGAGACAATAGAGTTGGCTCAGCATAGAGCAGGATTCAGAGCGCTTATACATAGGGTCACTGTGAGTTACAAACAACTCAATGGCCCATAACAAAACCAATATACTAAAGATATGTCTATCTTGTTTTCTAAGACCCAACTATTGTTTTTGTTGAACTTGTCCATTGTTTTTCTTTTTTATTTATGTCTGCTTCATGCATCAGATATGATGTGGGAAAATCACGTGAAGGATACTTGATCTGATTCTCTCTTATTTTCACCCAGCGCTGTGTTCTTCTTTCCTTGATGAAGCACCAGGGCTGCCTCCTGTAAACCTTTCCCTTCTGTTTGAAGAGAAACCACCAGCAAAACCACAGCCCAGCCTGCTGCTCTTGAGTTGACTTTGACTCATAGAATGTCCAAGGCTGTCCATTTTTATGGAGACAGACTCCTTCATCTTTCTTTTGCAGAGCCTCTGGTAGGTTCGAACTTTCAAGCTTTTGGTTAGTGTCCTTGTGCTTAAAACACTGTACCCCCAAGACACCTTCCATTCTGTTTGGAAAAAGTCATTTCTTTGGCTGTTCTCTTGAGTTCCCTAGAGACAAATTCTTTTAGTCTTCTTTTGTCTGAGAATGTTGTGTCAGTTTCCCTTCATTGCTGAAGGGTATTTTTGCAGATTACAGAATTTGTGTTTGCCAGGTCTTTTCTTGGAAAATGGTGAGTCCTGTTCTTTTGACCTCATCTCATTTCAACTGCAAGACTCTCACTGTCGTTTCAGTTGATGTTTTTCCCATCTTGCCTCATCTTTTCCTTCTCACTGCTTTCATGATGCAGTGTTTGTCTTTTGTTTTCAGAAGATTAATTGTGATGCACTTATTGTAGATTTCATCAACATTTTCATACTAGGGATTTGTACTACACTTGGAATCTGTAGGTCTGTGTCTCTCACCAGATTTGGCCAGTTTTCAACTGATATTTCTTTGAATATGTTTTCAGTTAATCTCTCTCTGTGCTGTACTTATTGGACTCTGTTAATACAAATATTATCTCTTTTATTGTTTATATAGAGCCTCAATATGTGTCATATTCTCCCTTCCATCTACTCTTCTCCCTGTTTGTTCAGGGTGATAAGTTCAGTGCGTCTATCTTCAAGTTCAATGAACTCTAGTAGTGCTGGGGTTAAATCATTTGTCTGCTAGCTCCGAGGCTGGAAGTTTTGACGCACCAGCTGCCCTCCGTCAGGATTCTCAGGGGAAGTGACTGAGGAGCTTTTGGGTTGTAGTTCAGCACTTTCCACACGCTGCTCCGCAGGAGAAGAACTAGGCCATCAGCTTCCATAAAGATGACACCCTTGGAAATGCCATGGGACCGAGTTCTGCTCTGCCCTGCGGGGCTGTGAGACCAAAGTGACTGGGCAGCAGTGCGCCACTCTTCAGGCTCAGGGATTCTGGGGTTTTCTTTTTCATTCTACTATTGAGCCCTTCCAGGTGGCTGTTTTTCTTGTTCTGTTTTTCTCAAGAGAAATGGGGGGAACCCCAGACCTACCAACAAAACAAAAAAATCTCAAGAAATAGAAAATAAAAAACATCTGGAAAACCCCATTTCAGTTTTAGAATTTCCTTTAGGGTCTTTTTTAAAAATTTTTTTAATGTCTTCGGTCTCTGTTTCTTTTTTTGAGTTTCTGGTTTTCTTATTTGTACAAAGGGCATTTGTAACTCCTTGTTGAAACCTTTTCACAATGACTGCTTTAAAATCCTCATCTGATAATTTGAACATCTAATTAATCTCCAAACTGACATCTATTGTTGATCAGCTTTTCTCATCCTGTTGTGTTTTCCTGGTAGCTGCCTGCTTCTGCCGGAAGGGCAGTGACATATCTGTTACCTTCACAGCCTCATTGGCATACCCTGGTGGACAGATAAGCTGGACCTTATTCTGCTGACCTGACCAGGTGGAGAAATTGGTGCCTCACCACCTTCTTCTGCAGGACCATGAAGTGAGGTAGACAGTGTGTGAGGGATAGATTTTCCCCATGAGTAGTTGTTGTTGTTAAGTGCTATCAAGTTGACTGTGACTGACAGTGACCTTACAAACAACATTCTGAACCTCGCTCTATCCTGAGCCATCCTCACAATTTCTGTCTAATTTCTATATCACTGTGTCAGTCCGTCTTTTTGAGGATGTTCCTCTCTCTCTGACCCTCCACCTTTCCAAGCATGCTGTCTTTCCCCCAAAAACATTCCCAAATATGTGAGACCAAGTTTCACCATCCTTGGCTTTAAGGAGAACCCTAATTGCACCGTCTCCAAGACACACCTGTTTGTTCTTTTGGCCGTCCATGGCTATTCAGCACTCTCCTGATATCATACCTCAAAGGCACCATAGTTCTTCTGTCTCCTTAGTCATTGTCCAGCTCGCAGATGCAAAGCAAGCAACTGAGAATACCATGACCTGAACCAGGTGCACCTAAGTCTCCAGATTGACATTGTTGCTCTCTAGCATCCTGGCGAGGTTCTTGACAGCCAACTCTTCCAATGCCTTCCCAAAGTCTTTTCGTTTCTTGACTGGTGTTACCAAGGATGCTGACTGTTAGAGCCATGCAAAACGAAACCATTGACAGTTTCAGATCTTTTCTCAGCTTATCATGATGTTGCCTATTGGCTCAGTGGTGAGGATTTTGGTTTTCTTGATGTTGAGATGAAGGCTATAGTCTTTAATCTTCTGCAGCAAGTGATTCAGGGCTTCCTCACTTTCTGCAAGCAAGGTTGTGTCATCTGAATAACAGATTGTTAATGAGCTTCCCTCCAATCCTGATGCCACATTTTTCTTCATAGAGTCCAGCTTCTCATGTGATTTGCTCAACAGACAGAGTGAATAATTATGGAGAGAGGATAGAGCCCTTTTTTTATTTTAGACCATGTAGTCTTCCCTTGTTCTATTCAGACAGCAGCTTCTTGGTCTAAGTATAGGTTTCGCATGAGCACAATTAAGTGTTCTGAAACTCCCATTCTTCTCATTGTTGGTCATAATTTGTTATGATCCACACAGTCAAATGCCTTTGCATAGTCAAGAAAACACAAGTAGACAACCTTCTGGTATTCTCTGCTTTCAGCCAAGATCCCTGGACTGGGAAACAAACATGCTTTCTCTTCTTTCAGGCTGCCCTTTCCCTGGGCTAGAGGAAATGGGGGTTTGAGGGAGCTCTCTGTGCCAGGGCCTGTGGGCAGTTGTGATTTGGAAACTCACTGTTGGCCCAGGGCCTTCTGCCCCCAGAGCCTGCCTGTGTCTCCTGCTGGTGCTGCATGCCCACTCGCCCACTGTGTCCTTTCTGGGTTTTCTTATTGGTCAGGAGGGAAACCCTGGGAGGGATGGGACAGTGTGGCCAGAACCGGCCTGCTGTTAAGTGTGCACATTCCCAACTCGCCTGGTGGAGCCTCCATGTTAACTTGCTGTTCCTACCTTTGCACCCTCCTTTAGAGAGATGGGAGCGCGACATCACCACCACAACCAGGAGGCCAGGAATTCCCCGGGTGCCTGCAAATCCTGCAGGTACGTGGCCGCTCAGGGGAGGGCAGGGCAGGGAGGCCAGCAAGCCCTGTGCGTACAAGGCCGGCCGAGGCTGATCCCTTGTCACCAGGAAGGGTTGTGCCCTGGACCCTTCCGGTCCCTCTCCCTTTTCAGCTGGATGGTGGAGTGCCTTAGGTTTTATGAAGGCAGATGGAGAGTTAGTCTAAAGGACGTGAACTCTGCGCTCCTTTGCAGCTCTGTCCTTCCCACCATTTCCTGATCAGGCATCCTCACGGAATTGCCCCTTGTCACCGGTACCTTGGGCGCATTCTAGAGCATTCCAAGTGCCCTGCCTTCCAGGGAGCCAGCTCACCTGCTGCTCTCTTGTGACCTTGTGGCCTGTTTCTAATTGTCCGGCATACGGGCCCTCAGACTAGTAGCTGCAGCCAGGCAGAGTGCACATGGGGCCAGAAGTGTGCGAACAGGGCTTGCTGCTTTCAGTATTGACAGCTGTGGACGAGTCTGAGTCTCCTCAGGGCTACTTTGTATTGACTCCTGGTTTGCACTAGTCGCTCAGCCCGGGAGGAGGGTTTAGCTTTTTGAAGGAATCCTGTTTCCATCAGTTGTTAATCAGCTGCTGTTTCCTTTGTGTTTGGGCTGCCGAAGGTGGTGACTTATCCTTGGCTGACGCCTTGGACGACCCTGATGACGGCCACAGGAAGCCGGAGCCAGGAGGAGGAGGAGCAAGAGGTGGAGGTGGAGGTAAGTCACACTGGGGCGCCTGGGTGGGGTCCCGCTTCGCTAGCACAACAGGCCTGTGGAGCCAACCCTGCCCAGCAGAGCAGGGCACCCATGAAACCCTGAGATAGCAATTCTCAAACACTTGGCCTCAAGACTCCTTCAGAGTCTGAAAATAATTGAGGGTCTCAAAGTTTTGTTCGTATGAGCCATAGTCATCACATTAGAATTTAAAGAGAAAAAGATTCCTTTTCATTATTTCTGTGTATAAATTGGGAAGGAGATGGGGAATTGCCTTCCACAAAGGTTACCGCTGTGGAGACCCGATGGCAGGCTGCTGAGTGAGGACTGTGCATGGGACTCACATGTATGTAAACTACATGTTGTTTGGGGCTGTTGAGTCGACTACATCTCATAGTGACCCTATGAACAATAGCCCTGAGCCCTGTCCTGTCCTGTCCTGCCCTGTCCTGTCCTGTGCTGTCCTGTCCTGCCCTGCCCTGTCCTGTCCTGTCCTGTGCTGTGCTGTCCTCCTCATCTCTGACATGTTTGACGCCATGAACAACAGACCTGAGCCCTGTCCTGTCCCGTCCCATCCTCCTCATCTCTGACACACTTGAGCCTGTCGCTGTAGTCACTGTGTAACCCCTCATTGAGGGTCTCCCTCTCTTTTGTTGACCCTCCACCTTTCCCAGCATGAGGTCCTTTTCCGAGGACTTGTCCCTCCTGATGACGTGTCTGAAGAATGTGAGATGAAGTTCCACCATCTTTTCCTCTGAGGAGACCCCTGTTGGCATTTCCTCCTAGACAGGCTTGTTCTTTTCACAGTCTGTGGGATATTCAGTACTCCTCTCCAGCACCACAAATCAAAGGCAATGATTCTTGTTGTGTCTCCCTTATTCATTGTCCAACTTTCATGTGCATAGGAAGTAATTAAAAAGACCATGGCTTGGATTAGGTACACCTTAGTCTTTACACTAACATCATTGCTCTTTAGCACTTTGGAAAGGTACTTGACAGCAGATTTTCCTAATGCAACACATTTTGGTTTTTTTTTCTTAACTGCTGTTTCTCTGGGTGTTATGTGTGGACATTTAAATTGTCAGTTATGTGCTAACATGAATAACATATTTTATAAGAAATCTTTGGAAAGACAAACACAAAATAGGTTGAGAAGAACTGTTTTGTGATGCACTTGCAAATTTCTTTTATGTCTGTTTTAATGGAAGAATGGGATTCTCCCATCTGCATCTATATTCAGCCACTGTGGTATGCTGTTATGGTTGGTAAATAGGTGGCAAATCAGTTTGGACTTAACTCTGCACTTGGAAGTTGTTGTTGTTAAGTGCCGTCAAGTCATAGACGACTCATAGCGACTCTGTGAACGAAAGACCTGAACACTTGTTTAACTTTCATCATTTCTCCAAGTTCGTAGGGTTTCCGGAGCTTGGAAGAAAGAGGTATATTTCAATCAACTCTCCAGATCGTCATGGACTTTCTTCTTGGATGTAACACTGGAGCTCGGCAAATGATGGTTTAAAGGTTAATTGCTGTATCAAATGTGAAACCATATTCATGACCTTTTCGTCCTTGGCCTCATTGAACCAATAGGTTCTTGTTTGACCTTTGGATAGATTTTATGCCCATTCACGGCTTAGTAACATCTTGTGTTGGTCCTTTTGAAAATATTGGTGCGCTGAGCTGTGTTGTGGTTCCAAACGATGCCACAGCACCCAGAAGTCAAGTGTTAGGCCATCACAGATCTCCTGAGCAAAAAATTTATGTATCAGAAAGATCATGCTGCCAGATGCACATATTTCAAAATTGAAGTATTTCATGAGCACTTGAATTTTATCACGGATAACAAATGCTGTCAACCTGTTTGTTTTTAAAGGACAGGATCATCTCTTTCATTCATTCTCAAGAAAATGTTGGTCAGATCTTCACAATGGAATAAGTACAGTTTCTCTGACTTCCACTCTTTCAAATAAAATTTGTCTTCTATGAGAAAAGCAGTTAATGCCACTGAAAACAGACTACTTGCTGAAGTAGGTTCCCTGAGCCAACTATTGGACTTCAGGGATGCCACACAAATGCTTTCCTCGCCTTCCTGTTTTATCAGGCAGAATATTAAAAAAGACATATCATCAAGGTTGGGAGGCAATAAAAGGAATACTTTTCCTCTGCTTTCTTGTATCATTGTCTTAATTGCTTCATAACAAATGACCATAAAGAACGAGTCAAAACAGTCTTCATCCATCATGTCGTCATTCCTCTGGGTCAGGAGTGCACATCCCACACAGCTGGGAGTTCCTCACAGGCGGAAATCCTTGTGTTGTTGCCTGGGGCTGGGATCTCATCTCAGGTCCAAGGTTGTATTCATTTCCTGCTCTTGCGGTAATGAATTACCTCAGACTTGAGTGTTTCAAAGGGCCACATTCATTATCCAACAGCTGTTGCAGTCAGACGCCTGAAATGAGTCTCCCCGGGTGAAAATCCGTGTGCTTACAATCTCTAGAAAGTATCTCTTTCTCACATGTCTTCCAGGGCTCAGGGCCCCTTCCTCCATCTTCAGAGCAACAGCGTAGCGTTCGGATCGCTCATTGGTGCTCATCCCTGCTTCTGTCATCCATCTCTTTCTCTGAATCTCCTGCCTCCTCCTGATTTTTAAGGACCAGGTGGTTACATTGGACCCACCTGAACACTCTTCTCATCTCAGAATCCTTAACTTACTCCATTTGCAAAGTCCTTTCTCGCACGGAAGGGTTTGATGATTAGACTGTTGGAATTTGGAAGAGGCTATTATTATAATAATATGGGATTCAATAACAAGTGTGTAAGGAGAGTTCACATAAGAAAAACAAGTAATGCAGATATTAAATTCATTTTTCATGGAGATTAAAAGGTAAATATAAAATTTATTTGGAGGGGGAGGCATAGCACTTCCTGATCTCAAAACCTACTACACAGAAGTAGTAACCAAAACAGTATGGAACTGGTACAATAATAGGCCAATGTTCATAGAAGCATTATTCACCATTGCAAAAACATGGAAACAGCCCAAGTCACAAAAGAATGGATTGAAAAATTATGGTACATCCACACAATGGAATACTATACAGCACACAAGAGCAATGATTTTGTAAATTATTGCCTAACTTGGAAGGGACTGGAGAGCATTATGTTGAGTGAACTAACTCTATCCCACAAGGATAAATATTGTACAAACCATTATTATAGAAGGAGTATTAGGATTCAAGAGGGGTAGGAGAGGTTGGAAGCAGAGGGATATGAATTTGCAGAAGGAGGGAAGGATTAAACATCAAGCTGTACAATTTGGTGGGTGGAGGGTTGAGGGAAGTTGAAAGAATTTGTTCTTGAAAACAAGGTATCTAAATTTTGTAAATAAACTGGTAGAAAAGAAACAAAAGAAAAACAAGAAATGTTATTTATCACAATGACAAAGCAAAGAACAAGAACCATATAATTCTATTAATGGATGCACTAAAGGCCTTTAAAAAATTCAACAACCCTTCCTGAACAAAATAGGAATAGAAAGGAGTTTTGTCCACCTAGTGAAAAGTGTATTTGCATGATCAATACCTAAAATAATTCTCAATAGAAAGTTTAAAGACATTTGCCTTGATAACAGTTAGTAGGTAGGATGCCTACTATCACCACTCTTATTCAATATTGCATCCCAAGTCTTAGTGAAAGCCATCAGGCAAGAGAAGGCAATGAAAGGAATCCAAATTGGTAAACAAGAGTTAAAACTATCTCTATACTCAAATAATATGAGTATACTTAGAAAACCCTAAAAATTCAGCAAGAAAACCATTGGATATAGTCAACCAATTCAGCCAACAGCTAAATTTTTCTACAGTAACAAAACGAACATAAACAAGGAAACAAAATAAATGCCTATTACAATAACTAATCACAAGATGAAATACTTAGGAACTAATCTAACTAGATATATAAAAGCTCTATACAAAGAAAATGATAAAATATTATTGCAAGAAACAAAAGAGACCTAGATATATAGAAGATTCTATCATGATCATGGATAAGAAGACTCAATATCATGAAAACAGACATTCTACCAAAAGCAATCTATAATCTTAATGCAATCTTAATACAGACATCAATTCCATTCTTCAAATAGATGGAAAAGACAATATCCAGTTTTGACCGGAATGCAAAGAGACTTCAAATAAGTAAAACACTACTGAAAAGTAAAATAAGGCAAGAGATATCACATTTCTTGATCTCAATTCCTACCCAGAAATCAACTCTTCTGCATTTGGTAAGCTGGTTTTTGAAATTGTAATTCATGTAAGTAGAGAACCTACAGCCTCTTTAACAAATTGTGATGGAAATATTGGAAAACCATCTTCAGAAAACTAAAGTAAGAGCTATACTTCACACGATACACAAAATACACCTCAAGATATATCAGAGATCTAGGAGTAAAAACAAAGACTATAAAGTCCATCAAGGAGAAACTAAAAATAACTCCCAAACATAATGAAAACTATGAAACCAGGACTGGATAAAACAGATGAATTGGACCTTCTAAAACTAAAATCCCTACAAAGTTGGAAACAGGAGTGGCATCCACTTCCAAACAACATGCCTCTGGAAACTATGAACTTTGATTAATGATGATAGTTATAGAAAGGCTTCAGGCCTTTTGTTCATAGGGTCGCTATGAGTTGTGCTCAACTCGATGGTAATCAACAACAATGAAATACACCAAAAAAGGTTTTTCAGTAGGTCAAAAACGAAACCCACAAACTCAGAAAATATTTGACAGTATTATATCTGATAAAGTACCAATCTAAAATGTATAGGATACTTCAGCACCTCAACAACAAAATATATTCCAATCACATAAGGGCACACATATGAATACATCCTTGACTAAAGAAGAAATTCAGGTGACCAACAAACACATGAAGAAATGTCCAAAATCCCTAGCTATCAGAATGTTGCAAATCAAAACAATATTGAGACATCATCTCACCCCAGTATCAATAGGAGTTTAACAGGGCTGAGACTAAGGTGTGGCTGTTGTTCACAATAGGGTACCCATAAGATGATTGGATGTGGCCTAATGTTAAAAGGGGATTTTGGCTACCAGTCTGGGGTTATTTCAGGCTAGGAAGATGAGTGAAACTGGCAGATTTTGATAAGGTGTGTTTTCTGGTTTGGGGTTGATACTAGGGTATGGCTGTTGTTCACAATAGTGTACCCGTGAGCTGACTGCCTTTTGTAGTGACATACACTTAAAAGAAAAAAAAAAAGCATGCCTCCAGAAACTCTATAAACTTGGAGAAAAAGATGAAAGTTTTGCATTCAAGATTTTCTTTCATAGGGTTGCAATGGGTCTTCTAAGACTCTATGGCATTTAACAACAATGCAACATTAGCATCAAAATTGCATATACTCTAAGTCACACTTACTGTAGTCCTATTTCTCTACCCTATTAAAGAGATACATAGACTTACTTCGGACATGTAGTGAGGAGAGACCGGTCCTTGGAGAGGAACATCATGCTTGGGAGGGTGGAGGGACGGCGCAGGAGAGGAAGGCCCTCTATGA